GTGTACGTCGTTATATTGTTTATAAAAAATAGTGTCACTTATTCCGTATGTATGTATATACAGTAGCGGACAAAAGTTTAAGACGATGATTTGTAAACCGGATTACAAACATCTTATACGCATATTGTTCTATTCGGTTTGTCTCTTTGGAATAACGTAGCTGTATGTTTGACCTTCGTAACCTCAGACAGTCAGTTGTTAAATACAAACAATGTAGGAGTTACAACAGTTAGTTACCGCTTAGCATTAGCACTTGGAAACAGTGGACATTAGTTTAAGACGATCTGTGTAAAACGTGAGTACGAGTACAGTTTTTGAACATTTTGATTCTGGAATGTCAAAATCATTGTTTAGTGTACCTTTTATTGCTTAAAATTCATTTAGGTAGGAACAGACTATGGGTAAATCAAAGAATTTACTTGAAAACGAAAGGGAACAAATCGTAAGGCTGCGAAAGCAAAGTAAAACCTTCACCGAAATAGCAAATATAGTGAACAGGTCAGAAACGGCTTGTAAACAAGCTTGGTATAAATTTTTAAAGACAGGCATGTATTGCGATCAACCGAAAAACGGAAGACCACGGAAAACAACACCGAAAATGGATCGCCGGATTCATCGATTGAGCGAAAAGGATCGTTTTCGTAGTGCAAATAATATTGCTGCGGAGATAAACTATGAAAACGATACACAAATTAGTGCTAGAACTGTTAGGAGAAGATTAGAAGACTTTAACTTAAGAGGACGAAAACCCCAAAAGAAACCACTGCTGAGTTCTAGGAATCGAAAAAGACGACTTGCATTTGCTAAAGCTCATAAGCATTGGACAAGTGAAGATTGGCAAAAGGTATTGTTTTCTGACGAATCGAAATTCAATCGCGTCTGTTCTGACGGGATACGGTACGTTAGACGTCGAATTGGCGAAAGTTTGAAAACACAGTGCGTTTTAAAAACTCTTAAACATGGTGGTGGAAACGTTATGGTGTGGGCGTGTTTTTCTCGAAGCGGCCCTGGTCCGATATGTCGTATCAATGGAATTATGGACCGTTTTCAATACATGGACATACTCAAGAACACAATGTTACCTTTTGCACGCAACAATATGAGTGATGATTTTATTTTTCAAAATGATAATGATCCGAAGCACACGGCTCGGGTTGTGAAACAGTTTTTTCAAGAAGAAAATATTATCGTGCTGCCGTGGCCGTCCCAATCACCAGATATTAATCCAATCGAGAACTTGTGGAGCATCATAAAAAAGACAGTACAAGGTTATAAACCGAAAAATTTGAATGAACTTTACTCTACAATTGAAACAGCTTGGAGTAATATTACGGTAGATCAATGTAAAAAACTACAACATACAACTACAACATAGATTCAATGCCAAGAAGATGTACCGAAGTGATAAGAAATAACGGATATTGGACAAAATATTGAATTTAAACAAAAATTGTGCATATTTTTTTACCAAAACTTAATATTTTTTGTGTAGTCTTAAACTTTTGACCGACAAAATATTATACAGATTTCGTTCCTTTTTTTGTAACTTCGCTACTGAGCAAAATATCAAAACGAAATTTTTTTTGTAAGTGTATAAACAAATGTCTAATTAGTTAATACCAAAAGTAGAACACTGTATTTATATTTTTTATGGAAAGTAAATCAATTATTTATTTTTTCCATTTCGTCTTAATCTTTTGTCCGCTACTGTATAAAGACGATGGTTTTTAATAACAGCAACAGACGAAGAAATCGTGAACGGGTTGCTAGTCCAATTGAAAAGAGAGTTTGATGTAACTACTGGCGACTTAAGTTTGTTTCTAGGATTTCAGATAGAGCAGGACACTGACGGCGCTATCTTCTTGCATCAATCTTGGTACGCCAGAAAGGTCCTGGAGCGATACATCAATAGGGAAACATCCATCGTGATATCTTCCAACCGAGAAATAAGATCACGGTACCAAACAATAGGAAACATGTTTGAAAGAATAATAAATGACAGGATCCTAACAATATGTCACACAAAAAATATAATTCCAGAAAATCAGTATGGCTTTCGCAAACATCATTCAACATGCCATAAACAAGCTATCCTCGGACGTCAACTGGGCGCTGAATGGCGGTAAATGCGTGGGAGCATGCCGTGTAGACTTATAGAGAGCATTTGACATAGTTTGGCTAAACGAATTAATAATCAAACTACAAAACAAAGAATTTCCTCCTATACTAATCAAACTAATCCGTAGCATGATATACGGAAGAAGTTTTCAAATCAATTTGGGCAACGTAAAATCTACGCAATCGTTCAACATAGAAAATGGACTCCAACAAGGCACAATAAATTCTCCCATACTCTTCAACATATACACCAGTGACATCCTCAAATTATTCGGCCCTCATAACATAAATTGTTCCATGATAGCGTTCGCAGACGATTTAATTATATACACATCAGACAAATCTCCAAACAAATTACAAACCACACTACCAAAAAGCGTCAACAATATATTTGCTTATCTTAAAGCCTGGAAACTACAAGTTAATGCTGGTAAATGTGAACCAATCCTCACCAGGCCTTCATGAAGGAAAGCCTCGGGAACCGTTAGAAAGCAATACAAACATTTCTCCTTAAAACACGAAGAAAAGCAAGTGAAAATATAAAAAATAAAAACGCGGTAAGATACTTGGGCCTACTAATAGACAATAGATTCTTATTTAATAAACACATCGAGACCCAGTTACAAAAAGCAAAAAAAGAAAAAACATTTATAGCCAACGCAAGGCTGTATTACTCTAAAAATTAGATAAAAAAGTCAAACTAATACGTTACCAACTTCTGATAAAACCTATAATTACATACGGATGTGAGATATGGTACAACATCGGAGCAGCCGTAATGGAGGAACTGTAGATCTTTGAACGAAGATGCCTAAGAGCATGTCTCAACTTATACAGAACACGCGAGTCAAACTACCAAAAATACTACAACACAACACTGACCAATAAAGCGGGTTGCAGCAAAATCGACAACTGCATAATCAAACTTATTAGAAACTACTTCGCATCAGCTTAACAACTAACTAACAAACAAATCCATAACTTGTCCACTAAGCACATCAGGAGAGCAGGCAAACTGAAAACATATTAAATACAGTACAGCGATCCCCGAAAAAGACTTCAAAGAATACTGAAGCATGGACAGAAAAAGATTTTGGTGACAGAAATGTGATTAAAATCAAAATAAAAACAAAAAGTGAAAAAAGAACGTACCTGTAGCAATATAATCAAAACTAAAAATTTCCAAAAATAATGTAAATGTGTAGCGGCCCATGCAGCGCGCACGGCGCCAGATTGTATACAGAACGTACACGGCGAGACGCACGTAACGGACGCCTGAAGCCTCGGAAATCACGGAGGAGCTCCGAGGAATCGCCGGGAAGGTAAGAATCCTCTATAAGTCTAGTAATAATCTCCGTAGGGACATTAGAGAAGATGCGGAACTGCAGATAATGCAGATGTTGAAAGACATACGAATGAAGGTCAAGGACGAGCGAAAATTTGAGGCCCTGAGTTCGTGGACCTTGAGAATGACGGAGGCAGTTTTCCCGATCCTCGAGAGTAGGGGCTTTAGCGGGGTGTTGGGGAAAGAAATTCGGGACACCATCCTCGAGGGGTCAAAGTTAGTCGACACTTGGCTCACCGGGGAGGTGCTACCGACAACGACAGAAGAATGGCAAACAACGCCAAAGCAAAGGAGGGAGGCGGGCCGCAAGAGGAAGCGTGCCCTGCCCCAATCTCCACAGAAGGAAGTGTCGCCCGGCACCAAGTCGCCTCCGGTGAAGAGAAGGCCGGAGGTGATTACTGTAGCAAGGAAGAGGACGCCCGCGCCGCTTACGAAGTCGCCTGCGAAGACACAGAGCACGCCGGACAGAGGTGAGGCGGTTCTTAAAATCAAGGCCAAGGAGGGCCAGGACTTCCGCGTCACTTTCGCGGAAGTTAAAGACAAGGTGAAGATAGACAGACGGCACTGTCCTGGTGGGAGTCAGACCGAAGATGTGCTTATACGCACTAAGGACACGGCAGAAGCGAAGAAGCTCATGCTAAGAGCTAAGGCCGCGGGTGTGGAGACGGAAGTGCTAGGAGGAAGAGCCGGTCGTCTCCACATCTCAGGAATCGACGGTCTTTTGACGAAGACGGAGCTGGCCACGGCCCTCTCGAAAATGATGGCAACAAAGGTAAACATAGTTTACATCAGAGAGGGCTTCGGCGACACGCGGACGGCATGCGCTGAAATGAACGCGGAAAGCGTGGCCAAGTGCGTGCAAATGAAAGACATCCGGCTAAGGTGGAACCGGTGTCGTGTGCGCGAGTTCAAGGCCGCGGGCGAGTACTTCAGGTGCAGCGTGACGGGGCACTTTGCTCGCGACTGCAAAGAACAGAACAAGCGCTGCTACAGGTGCGGCAGCGAGCAGCACCTGGTGAAAGAGTGCCAACAAACAGAAAAGACAGCGAGGCAATCGACGCGGAGGCGGCCCCCATCCAGGGGCACAACGGAGTGGCCAGAATTGGGCGGAGCGCGATCGGATAGAAGTGCACCAAGTGTAGTGAGAAGTGCACCGAGTGCGGGGAAAAGTGCATCGACCAGTGCGCGGGTGCAGCAAGAAAGAAGAGGAGAACCCAGGACCAGGACCATCGGGACGCAGACCGACGTTTCCTGCATCCAGGGATCACCACGCAGGACAGGATGAGCCGACGCAGTCAAGAAGCCGCCACCTCCGAGGAAGAAAGGAAGGAAGAGCCGACCGTCGCCGAGAAGAGAACGAGAACGAGTAGCGGAAACACCAGCATCAAAGAAGACAGGAGCGTCTAGACAGCGACGGACCAGAGGCGTGGCTGTCATTGTAAGACACGAGATAGAGAAGTACGAGGATGCGATTAAAGCCATCCGATCCCACGTGCGAAACGAAGAGATGAGTGGGATAAAATCCGTGAGGAAGACCATGGCCGGCGAGATCCTCTTCGAGCTTGAAGAGGACGATCACACGAAACCATGGAAAGACAGGCTGGAGAGCATTCCTGGCGTTGCAAAGGTCCGGCGACTGGGCCCGCGCGACGCGGTGAAGATAAGAGGAATTGATGCCCTCACGGAGAACGAGGCCATCCTGAAGGCGGTGTCGGACACCACCGCCATGACAGAAGAGGAGAACGAGCAGGCGCAGATCGTCAGGGCTATCCTCGGGCCTTGGCAGGAGCGCGTAGTCGTGGTCCTGTTGCCCAGCCGAGCAGCCAAGGAACTGTGTAGCAAGGACAAATTCAAGATAGGATGGTCGAACGCCAGGGCTAGGTTTCCTCCCCGGCCCTGAGAGAATGTGCAGATCCTGCGGGTGGTATGGCCTCTCCGCCGAAACATGTAGAAGGAAGGAAGCACCACCAAATCAAACCAGGGATCAATAAACGATAATGCCCAAGGTAATACAAATAAACTTTAATAATTCTAGAGCCGCACAGGACCTGTTGGGACAGGTCATGCAAGAAAGAGGTGCCACGGTAGCCGTCGTCTCCGAGCCAGCCAGGGCGAAGAGCGGCGGTGGCAAGTGGTACCACAGCGGAGGCAATAAAGCCGCCATCTGGGTGGGGGACCCGGGTGCGCGGATCGAACTAGTGTGGAGCGGTGCTGGCGCCGTTATGATCAAGTTGGACGATCGGGAGATAATAAGGTGCTACTTCTCCCCGAACCGTCCACTGGCACAGTTCAAGGCATTCTGGGACAAGTTCCCAAGATTAGTAGAGAGGACCGGGCGGGAGTCCATAGTCACTGGTGACTTCAACGCTTGTTCCCCGGCGTGGGCCGATAGAAGAAATGAACGTGGGCGATAAATAGAGGACGGCCTGGCTACGGCAGATTGGGTCTGCTGCAACGTGGGCGCTAGGCCGACGTGCGTGAGTTCGATGGGAACGACCATCATCGACGTCACATTCGCCACGAGGGAAATGGCTGAAAACGTGAAAAACTGGCAGGTGCTGGACCTCGAGACGTTGAGCAACCACCTGTACATCTCCTACGAAATAGAAGACGGGAGAACCACAGGGGCGCAGAGCCAGAGACCCCCCACAACATGGAATTGCAGAAAGATAAGATGGGGGAAGCTGGAGAAGGAAACCAGAGATCTGGCTCTGGACCTTACAGACGACGCAGCCGGCGATCTGAGGGACGTACTCAGCGCCATTTGCAACAGGGTGATGCCCAAGAATAAACCGGGCAGAAGAAGGAACGCCTACTGGTGGTCGGATGCGATCGCCAGCGAGAGGAGTCGCTGCGAGAGGATGCGTAGGCGTATCCAGAAAGATAAGAGAAGAAATATCTGCACCCGAGACGCGCAGGAGGAATACAAGGAAGTACAACGCAGGCTGCGGAGAAACATCGCAAAGAGAAAAGACGAAGTTTGGAGAGATCTGCTGAAGACAGTGGAACAAGACCCCTGGGGAAAAGCGTACAAGGTGGTATGCGGAAAATTAGCAGGGAGGAGCAGGACAATGCTCGAGGAGGACGAACACCGACGGGTGCTCAGCATGCTGTTTCCCGACGGTCCACTGCCGGAGGAACTCCGTCGATAAAAGGAATCAGAAGACGAGAAAATGACGAGAAGAGTCACAGAAGACGAGGTCTTCAGAACGGCGAGAAGGATTAAGCGGGGCAAGGCACCGGGCCCCGACGGGATCCCGCCCGATATAGTGAGATACATCGGCATGAGGAAGCCGGATGTATTCAAAAAAGTTTTCGACGACTGCTTGGACGGGCTGCGTTTCCCGCCCGAGTGGAAGAGGAGTCGAATAGTGCTGATCCCGAAGGGACTGGACAGCATGGAGAAGAAGTTCCGGCCCATCTGCTTGCTGAACACCACAGGCAAGCTGTTCGAAAGGGTGATGGCGAACAGGATCGCCGGATGGGCCGAGGAGAAGCTGAACCGGAACCAGTTCGGCTTCAGACCAGGGCTTTCGACCATAGAGGCCCTCGAGGAAGTAGACGCGTACGTCAAAAGGGCGATGATCGAGAGGAGGGGCGTGATGGCAGTGCTTCTGGACATCAGGAACGCCTTCAACGAAATCACATGGCCCGCGGTGATGAAAGGACTGGAGGACATGGACATGCCGTGGTACATGCAGGTACTTGTGAGAGACTATCTTAGTGTAAGGACAGGGACTTCGTGCGCGGGGAGGGCGCCCGCGGAATTGGCAATGAGCAGGGGCGTGCCCCAGGGATCCGTCCTGGGACCACTGCTCTGGAACATCGCGTATAATAAGATACTGGCCAAGGGGGAGGGCAGTGATGTTAAGAGAGTTTGCTACGCCGACGACACCATCGTGATGGTCAAGTACACGGACGTCGCAGAAGGAGCTCCACGGCTCGCGAAAAGGGTGGAGAACGTCATGGTCGAGATCGAGAGTCTGGGACTGACGATCGCGGAGAACAAAACGCAGGCGATCATTCTTGACCGGAGGAGGGGTATAATACCCCCAATACAGATCACGATAAGAGGTACTAAGGTCGTTAAGGCGAGCGCGGAAGTGAAGTACCTGGGCGTGACGCTGGGAGAGAGAATGCGTCTCCTGAAGCACGTGATCGCTGTCAGCGAGAAGGGCACGACGGTCATGAGCAAGATCGGCCGGATATTGCCCAACCTGGGGAGACGACATGCACGAGGTCCAAGATGTTCAACTCCTGGCTGGACAAGGTCAGGAGGATGTGCGTGCTGCGAGTGAGCGCTGCCTACCGAACGATGTCCACGGAAGCAGCGGGTGTGATCGCAGGGGTTCCCCCGTTCGAACTGGTCGCAACAGCCAGAATGCGGGAACACCGCCGCAAGAAGGAGCTCAGCCTGACGGGTACGGTGACCCCGAGGCACAAAGCCAGGATCAAGAAAGAAGAAGAAAGGGAAACGATGAACGCCTGGCAGAAGAGATGGCAGGAGCCATCAAAGACGGGGGAGTGGACGAGGCGCCTCATCCCGGACATAAAGAAATGGGTAAAACGATCACACGGAAAGGTGAACTACGAGGGTAGTCCCAGAAGTACCCGACCTGACGTATAGATGGCGGTTGTTTTTTAAAAAAAATGACTATCGTAGAAAATACCAACCTTATAAAGCTTAAGTTTGAAGTTTGACGACGCTACGTAGCGTCGTGAGGATGTTTCAATCGAGTGTTTGGCGAAGTTTCACAGCAATAAAGCAGAGTTTTTGCGTCGATACATAACCATGGATGAAACATGGGTCCATCACTTGACACCTGAGACAAAGGAACAGTCAAAACAATGGACTGAAAGGGGAGAATCGGCTCCAAAGAAGGCGAAGACAGTTCCATCTGCAGGCAAGGTCATGGCGTCAGTTTTTTGATAATTTTCATTGATTATCTTCAGAAAGGAAGAACAATCGACGGCGAGTATTATGCGAACTTATTGCAGCGTTTGAGTGATGAAATCAAGAAAAAACGGCCGCATTTGGCGAAAAAGAAAATTTTGTTTCATCAAGACAATGCACCAGTTCACACATCCGTTATCGCGATGGCCAAAATCAATGAGTTAAAGTTCAAATTGCTTCTTCACGCACCCTATTTGCCAGATTTAGCCCCCTCGGATTATTTTCTGTTTCCAAACTTGAAAAAATGGCTCGGTGGTAAAAGATTTGCCAACAATGAAGAGGTGGAGTCTGCGGTTGATGGCTATTTTGAGGAGCTCGACGATTCTTACTATAAACAGGGTATTGAAGCTATTGAACATCGCTGGGAAAAGTGTATCGAGCTAAAAGGAGACTATGTAGAGAAATAAAGATACTTTTCCCCAAATTTTTTGTGTTTTCTTTGTTAGGTCGAGTACTTCTGGGACTACCCTCGTACCACCTGACCCAATTCCTCACGGGTCACGGTACGTTCAACCTCTACTTAAAGCGATTCAAGAGAAGACGCAGCGACAGGTGCAGATACTGCACCGCAGTTGAGGCTGACAGCGTGCGCCACACGATGTTCGACTGCCCCGGTTGGAAACAAGAAAGGGACCATATAGACTGGAGTATCGGGGGCGGGCCCCTGACACCGGAAAACATCGTCACCGAGATGTTAAAGAACAGGAAGAGGTGGGTCGAGATCGAAGGCGTCGTCCACAACATCCTCACCAAGATGGAGGACGACGACCGGAGACTCGGCTACTGACTGTACTGTTGTGAAGTGAAGTGAAAGAAGAGTTCCCGCCGCCCTTCTACAGCGGACGGAGGAAGAATTTCCGCCGCCGATTTACAGCGGACGGACAATTGTATATATTTGAATTGTACATTTAATTCAATCATTTACAGGACAGATTTCTTTGTTGTATATAGCTTCAATGAAATTGTATATATTTACGAGTGCGAGGACGTGTGAATGAACCTTTGGGGTTTTAGTGCATGCGAGGATTTCAAGGGTGCGGACTTAATTGTGTGTGAATGTGTTTGTACATATACCGAGGGTGGGTATATATTAAGATAGGGTAGTTTCTAGGTAGTGCTAAAGGACAGGGACGAATAAGCACGTGAGGACATTTCGCGAGTGTGTATATATGTATTATATCTGAGTTATGTAACTGCGCCTAACCCCCCCTGGAAGGCGGCCACCCAGAGTCCCACTGGGAGGGCGTACCGACTTGGGGGCGACTGCCATAGCTGGTCCCAAGCCTAGTTGAGAAAAGTAGAGGGGCCTAAGCTAACTTAACCTTAATGCCACCGGCCACCCAACGCCGGGTGCGGAACGCCTGTCTTACAACGGATTCCCTGCACCCGCGCTGAGGCACTCCAACTCGGCGGTGGTTTCGGACCCTCAAAAAAAAAAAAAGGTTCCTCAAGCCTATTGGAACGTTATCTAATTTATAAGTAGCATAAGTTAAAGTTAAGTTTATCGTTATCTAATTTATAAGTAGCACATGTAGTATAAGTATAGATAGTAAGTAAACGCCGAGTAACGTCAGATCCCTTTTATTTGGCCTTTTGGGGAGCAATAAAACATCTGCCTATAGAGTTTAAGTCGAAAAAACTAAAATTAAATGTAAATGTAAGCGTAACGAGCAATAGTCCTGTACTACCTATCGTGATACCAAAGCCGCACAATATAAGTCTATAGAACATTTAAGCAAAACGAACTATTTGTTTATTTATAGATGTATTATTGACAAAATATTTTCTTATGCCTGTTATGTACGCGTTCTACCCGAAACGTACGGCGCCGAATGTTTAGTCTAGCACGCACCCCCCCGATAGTCGCCAAGCCAAGGGATGAGCTCGCATTCCATTCCCACGGAAATCTAACGTTCCCCACCACCAAAAATCTTAGTTTTTCGGAGTATAAAAGGGCATGATTTTCGACGATCGGGGGCAGTCTCTAATTCAGTTTTTGAACATAACGTTACTCTGTCCGTCAGAGTATTGATACGAGCAAGATCGGGTTCCAGTCCCCTTCGAGCATATTAACGTCGCGTACGTATTTCGTAAGTGTCAATCAAATAATACTGTCTACGACTCCTCCGCGCTCTCACCGCGTAAAGTCGAGAAGGGAGATTCTTGCCGAGTCAAGAATCGACTAACATTAAACATTGTATCGAATCAGCCATTGTAATTATAATAGAATATAGTAATATAGAGTCATACTCGTGTCTATATTCAATTAAACCTATCCTGAATAGTATAGTAACGTACCAGCTAACCCCACGACAGATATACCTTTACCGCTCGAGGAATATCAACGACTACGACTCGCGAATACCAAATACCTTCATATCCGGTGGCACGCGGCGTTAACCATACGCCGAATGGTCCATCTCCTTCGGCTACCTTCGTTAACCATACGTTGGCACGTCCGAGACCTCCTATCTCACCTACGACACACTGTCCGGTGGCACGCGGCGTTAACCATACGCCGAATGGTCCATCTCCTTCGGCTACCTTCGTTAACCATACGTTGGCACGTCCGAGCACTCCTGTCTTACACCCGACACATCCTCCGGTGTCACGCGTCGTTAACCAATCCCGAATAAACCACCTCCTTCGGCTACCTTCGTTAACCATACGTTGGCACGTCCGAGACCTCCTATCTCACCTACAACACACTGTCCGGTGGCACGCGGCGTTAACCATACGCCGAATGGTCCATCTCCTTCGGCTACCTTCGTTAACCATACGTTGGCACGTCCGAACCCTCCTGTCTATACCCACGTCGACCGCGAATCGGGAAACACGCGCTTTTATATTATGACCAAAACCCGAACGACGTCACAAGGCTGGTGATACCGGTCGAAATCCGCAAGCACCTGACAACCTACCGACGACCGTACGGAACGCGAGCCGTACTCCCTATAACAAGCAAAAGGGTGTGTTTAGAAGGAAAGAATCCAAAACCTAAAAAAAGTAAAATTAAATTAAAAAGGAAAAAAAGGAAAAAGTAAAATCAAATTAAAATCCATTCTCAAGCAGTCTTATCCTTGTCGAGGTCCAGTGGTAATCGTACCTTGGGCTCATAAGGTAGATGATAAAATTTGTTCCACGGAGCCCCTCGCTTCATCGCCATAAAACCAAAAATAGTTAATCATGCCAGCACACCTTTCTAAAACATTCATTTACCGTCGCGGCTAGCAATTTGCACAAAGGAAAAAAAAAAGACGTGCATCTGGCTAGCAGGTTTTATAACACACAAGTTCAAGGGCTGTTTTTGAGGAACCGTTTTAATTCTTTCACTCGTGCAGAATTTGTTTCTTTTCTAAATACCTAGACGACGGCCTCAACAGTCAATTGTCCGTGTAGTAAAATGTGAATTTTAAAAGAGGTTTGTACGCGGGCTTGACCGTCTTCAAACGGTATACAGCCGACCTTCACAGGTATCAACCTCGCGGAAATTCCGCGCCGTTGCCAAATCTCAATTTTCCTTCCTATTTCCACCTCCACCCACCACCCCTGTTCCTCATAGAGCGCGTCTAGGACGCACGGAACAGGGTAGTGGTAATTTCCACACCAGCTGATTGGCCATGTTAATGACCAATCAGAAAATAAAACGACCAGGAGCCTTCCGACTGTCTTGGAAGTCTCAAGAGTAGCGTTTTAAAGGAGTCTATCTTTCAACCGCCTAACGATCACATCATTAGTATTCGGAGTCTCCATTTTCAACCGTTTAACAGAAATAGTCAACCATTCGCAATAATTGTACTCATATGTTGAATTTATAAATATAGCGATAAGTTAACTACACTTGAAATATCTCTATTTCTTTAACGAGCAATAGGGAGCCAATCGCGCGCGGTACGATTAATTCGGGCCGAGATTTACAACCTCCGCTAGGTTTGCGTAACGACACACCTCACTGTGCGTGCGCGGCATAACATTTAGTCCTTCGAGCCGGATTCAGTGACTGTGAAATCCTACAGACATGAACAAAACAATCGTGATAGTGCCTATCCGAGTTTCAACACGTGGCGGAACCAGAACACCAGTCACAGCATCCGCCAAAGCATACGCCACCGAGAGACGTCGGGGACAGGAATCCAGGGAAGCGGCCATCGTAATATAAGGTAGACTCGTTTTTGTTTGACTCGCCAATTCCATTATCTTATCCTATACCATGGCAAACACTTCCACCTCCGAACAATCCCAATCGGTAACCCACGCATTAAATATCAGCACTCTGCGACGCAAACGTGGTAATATTATCGGACACATCACCTCGTTCAATAAACTCTTGGACACACAACGCGAACCCGGGCATCGAGACATTCATTTGATACAAGCACATCTCAATGGGTTGAACGACGTGTGGAAGCGCTTCGACGAAATGCAGTTCGCCATCGCCTGATACGCGTTCCGACTGCGTCTCCCGCACCGACGGTATCAGCACCGATGGTGATAAGATTGCCCGAAATGCGGTTACCCACGTTCGACGGAACAATCGAACATTGGTCCTCGTTTTACGACATATTTTCATCTACCATCGACCGCAACGATGACTTGACGCTGGTCCAAAAACTACAATATTTACGATCGACACTGACAGGTAAGGCAGCCGCGTGCATTCAATCATCGAGTACCACCGACGTGAACTACACCGACGCACTACAATTATTAAAGGAAAAATTTTATTGTACGCGACGTATCATCTTGAGACACTGCGACGCGTTACGAAACATCCCAAAACTCACACGGGACTCGCCGGAAGCATTAGGGAATCTCGTGGATTCTATAAACCAACATCTACGCGCCCTGAAGAATCTGGGAGAATCCATCTCGTCGTGGGACAGCATCTTAGTGTCCATTATTCTATCCAAGGTGAGCTCCGACACAGCGTGGTATTGGGAAATCACGCTAAAAGATAAAAAACGCATGCCATCATATACCGAACTGCTCGAATTCCTGGAGAAACAATCCAATTGTGCACCAGCATCGCCAACAGCTTCGCCAAGGCCGCCGAGACCAGAGAGCCCGCGAACACAACGACCAGGACCATCACGAGTACACGTTTTCGTAAGCGTGAACCAACAAAAATGTCCCATCTGTGAGGGCAAACATGGGATTTGGAGCTGCAACGAATTCCATGCAAGATCGGTGAAGGGACGATCAACCGCCGTCGAGCAGGCCTCCCTATGTAGAAATTGCCCGAAGAAGGGACACACGCCGGAATTCTGCCGGGCTAGCTTGTGTCGAATCTGCCAAAAACGGCACCACACGCTTCTCCACGAGTCAACACCGCTTCCAGATGACGCAACCCGATCAATTCCAACCGCAGGGACATCACGGAAGAGATCGGAAACCGTCGTTCCACTACCATCAACGTCGGCACGACCAGAAACTCAAGAGACACCGATAAACACGAAAGATCCAAACATCTTCATCGCCGATTCAACCACAAACGATTTACTAGTCACAGCAGAAATTAGTATTTTAGACAAGGATAATCACCCAATACGCTGTCGCGTCTTGATGGATACGGGCGCGACAACAAACTTCATAACGGAAAACCTTGCAAAACGACTCGGCGTGTCTCAAAGGAGATGTTTCATTCCTATCGGTGCTCTCAATACTCTCTCGACCGTAGCAAAACATATACTTGACGCCACCGTAACATCCGACAAAACCAACTACACGCGTACTATTACTTTCTTGACGATACCCAGCATATCATCGCAAATACCAAACCAGACAATCGACTGCTCCGCACTAAAGATTCCACGCAATATTAGATTAGCCGATCCACATTTTTACCGTCCAGTACCAGTCGAGGCACTCTTAGGCGTAGGAGTTACACTTTCTTTGTTCTGTGTCGGCCAAATCAATCTTTCAACTCCCAACAGTCCCGACCTATAACTACAGAAAACAAGATTAGGATGGGTAATCGGGTGGAGTACACCGGCTTCTAATCCAATGCTCCGCGCATCGTGTCACACAACAACTACACTTCAGAACGACATCGCAAAATTCTGGGAGATCGAAGAGGGACCACAGGTCCAGCATTTTTCCAAGTCAGAAGAGGCCTGTGAAGAACACTTCCGAAAAAACACCACACGGACCGCGGAGGGACGTTATATGGTTGCACTCCCATTCAACGGAAAAGAGCAACAACTCGGCGAATCGAGATCACGAGCCACTAAGAGATTCCTCTCCCTCGAAAGGAAGCTACAACGCGAACCATAAACGAAACAGCAGTATCACACGGTAATCGAGGAGTATATCGACCTAAGGCACATGTCAAAAATCAGGAGCGGTCCGTCCGACGACATCACCAATCATTTTTATCTGCCACATCACGGAGTTAAGAAAATTACAAGCCAGACGACGAAACTCCGAATGGTATTCGACGGATCAGCAGAAACCACCACCGGCACCATCGTTACGTCATCACAGGAGACATCGAGAAGATGTACCGACAAATCCTGGTTCGCTCGGAAGACCGCGATTACCTCCTCTGGCGCGACTCTAACGGACATCTGAATTCATACCAACTGAATACCGTTACGTTCGGATTATCTGCAGCTCCCTTTCTGACTATTCGATGCCTCAAACAACTAGCCCAGGTCACCAATTTCCACAAGCATCACAAATATTGCAAAGAGATTTTTACGTAGACGATGTTCTCACTGGTACCTCCACGAAGGAGGAAGGACTCGCTCTCCGCGATGATCTCGCGAGCTTACTCGGTCTCGCCGGTTTCAAAATCCGACAATGGGCTTCCAACGACAGACTGTTATTACAGGGATTGTCAGAGGACCAGATAAACAGTAAACTCCATTTAGGCGAGACATCAACATTAAAAACCCTTGGAGTATATTGGAACTCATCCGACGACTGCATCAATTACGCTGTGTCCACCACAACCAGTACAACGCAGGTCACTGAACGAGTCATCAGCTCCATCATAGCCAGAATTTACGATCCTTTGGGACTCCTCGGACCAGTCATCGTCGTTGCAAAAATCATGCTCCAGAAGGTCTGGACCATGAGACTCGACTGGGATGAATCTCTACCGATGAGCCTTCACTCTGAATGGATACAATTCTACCATCAACTGCCATTATTAAACAACATAGCATTTCCACGACACATCTTAATCGATACAGCAACATCCTTGGAGTTACACGGATTCTGCGACGCGAGTGAGAAGGCTTATGGCGCGTGCATCTATCTCCGGTCCACTGACGCGCAGGGGAACGTTCGGGTGGAACTTTTATTAGCCAAGTCCAAGGTAGCACCAATCAAACTACAAACTATACCTCGCCTCGATCTGTGCGGAGCACTACTCCTCGCATCGCTAGCCACAACCGTCCAGAAGGCACACCATGTTCCAATAAGCATATCAACTTTCTGGACCGATTCCACAATCGTCCTGCACTGGCTAAACTTTTCTCCTCACTCATTGAAAACCTTCGCAGCCAACAGAGTGGCGGAGATACGGAGTAAAACCCAGGTCACTGATTGGTGCCACGTGAGGACAGAAGATAATCCAGCCGACATGATATCTCTTGGTCAATCACCAACGGAATTCCTCCACCCATCTATCTGGCAGCAAGGACCAGAGTGGCTTAAGCGAGAATTTCATCACTTACAAATGAAAGATAGTGAAACAATGTCCTCATACATATCGCGAGCGAAAATTGTAGCGAATAATTTGACGGAGGCTGGAGCAGCTGTTAAGGATGAAGATTTGGCCTATGTATTACTAGCAGGGTTACCAGACAGCTATGAGAACCTAAATATGGCTTTAGCAAGTCTACCTGACGAGAAATTCATATCTGCAGAAGTTAAAAGAGTACTGTTAGCAGAGTACGATAGAAGAATATCAAGGACAGAAGGAGAAGGAAATGCACACAAGGAAGCACTACAAGTTACTAAAAGAGGAGAAATGAGAGAACATGATAAGGTACGCAATTATAGTAAACTCAGAAATATTACATACTTTAACTGCAATAAGACAAAGGATTGTGGGGCAAATGTGGAAAAGAATAAGAAGTTCGGGCCAAAATCCAGAGGAAAGTCAAACGCACTTTTAGTTTCTCTGAATCATGTTGAAATTGAAGATATGTGGATCCTGGATAGTGGAAGTACGCATCATGTGTGCAAAAGAAGAGAATGGTTCACTGACTTCAGAGAGACGAATATACAGGTAATAAATACAGCGACTGACCCGAATAAACCAGGTGCAATACTACAAGCCCATGGAGTTGGTAAGATAAACCTTAATGCATTCGTTGGGAACAAAGAGAAGAATATTGTACTATATAATGTATATAATGTACCGATTCTCAGAAAAAATTTAATGTCAGTCTCTCAAATTGAAAAGAAAAATAAGGAGTTAATATTTAAAGAAGGTAGAGTTAGTATAAAAAATACCTTGTCAAATGAAGTTATGTGTGAAGCTTATAGGAAGAATGACTTATATACAGGGTGTCCCGTAACTCTTCGAAAATCCGGAAATGGGGGGTTGCTGGGATGACCCTGAACAACTTTTTCCTTGTCCAAAATGTAATTAGAAGCTTCGTTTTCGAGTTATTAACGAAAAACACTGGCTAATCACAGCGCCCGTAGCGTCCGCGCTCAATGACGGGCGAATAGAGATTCATCCGCGCGTTATCGTGAACGACGCGTACGCGTGACTTCTCGGTTATCGATCGCTGTCAAAAAAATTTGACTTTGCACCGCTATTTTTATAAGGCTTAGAGAAATGGTTTTTTGCCGTCATTCCGACGTTTGTATAAATTTTTGGAAAAAAAACTGCAATTAGTTTGCAAAGCAAAGGTCGTTTTTACAACTTCTATATCTGAGCTCGTAATGAAAATTTAAAAAATACGTTTTGTAGATCTATGTCAATGACACGCACGCTGAAAATTTCATCGAAATCGGTTAATGTTTCTATGAGCTAGAAACGGTTAAAGATTGTGAAAATCGCAGTATTTCGACTTTCAGCGTAAAACTAATAAATCTGCAGATTCTTACATCTTTCGATGCCTGTCGCTTGTTTCTCTATCCACCGATTTCTGTGTTCGATACTTTTATTCATTATCCGAAATGAATAAAGAGTTTTATTATTTATGCAAAACTTACCCATTCATCCACGAATGAACCTGCTTCGACGGAAGTGGGTCGTTGGCTCTGGGTCAGTGTGTCAATCCCGACCTTTCCAGGTAATCCGAAACAGCTGATGTTACGATCGGGCCGATGAACTCACTTCACTGTATTTTTTTTTCACTGCCACAATTACTTGCTTTCAGTCCATTTATTGAAGATGATAAAATTATGGAAGAATTTTTATGCTGCAAGGAATTTGAAAAAACTACGACGGGAAAAGATGTTTTTGATATGATGAACACATATTTTAATACAAATGGTCTATCTTGGAAATCTTGCGTGGGTATATGTACAGATGGTGCCCCTTCCTTCTATGGTTGGAAGTATAAAAGGGTTTGTTTCATACGCTTGTGGCGGGTACGTCGTCGTCAACAAACTCTTACCGAACGTCGTTCTATTCTTCCACGCAAACTTTCTCTTCCAACTCCTTCAGATTTTAGTTTCCGTTCTTTTGTCTCTCCCTGGGTTAAGACTTGCCTTCGTCCTCAAGTAGCCTAAGAAGCGCACATGTGGCATCCAGGTTCGCACGAGGACGAACGGCCCCGCTTTCTACGAATTTTCCGCTTCCACCACTTTCTCCACTTCTATCTTTATCTATCGCTACTCCTGTCTCCCTGTCCTAATAATATAAAAACCCAGTACGCCTACACCTCCAGACAGTTTGTTCCTTTACCGCCGGGACAATTAACGAAGTAAACGATTGTATTTTCCGGACAAATTGTACGTCGACCATACACTTATATTTTAATAAATTGAGGTGAAAACAGTGCAACGACGTTCCTCACCCACCTCAATTTTTGGTGACCCCGACGTGATCTGAACGTGAAGTATAGTGACATTAGTCAAGTGCGCACTTCGGGTAAAAACATTTTTTTTTGGTGTTCCGAAACAACAATCGAACAGTGAGAATGGAAACGGGTCCGGGAGCATCCTCGGTGAATCGTGTCGCTGTCCAGGTTCCCGAATTTTGCCCGGCAGATTCGGAGCTGTGGTTAACGATGGCGGAACGCAGTTTCCAAGCATCGGGTACAACGTCTGACGACACCAAGTACGGCTACATTCTGGGTGCTCTAAACCTGCAGTACGCCGCCGAGGTTCGGGACATTATTATGGACCCACCAGCCTCTGGGCCGTATCAGAAGCTGAAGACGGAACTGATACGCCGGCTGAGCTCGTCGCTGAGCTAAGCGCCGACACCGCGTGGCAGTGGGAACTATCCTTGAAGGACAAGAAGATGCTAGCTTATACGAATCTGCTCGACTTTTTAGAAAAACGCGCGAACTCTTCGCTCATGGTTCATCAAAAACCAACGCAAACGGTAGGACAATACAGCCGCGGTCCGTCGGGAAAACATGGTGGCAATAAACAACCTTCGCGAAGCCACGCATTCGTGATCGCGGCCCATGCGAACGAGACCCGTCACCCTCGCGAGACAGTGAAAACCGGCAAGCCCCGGATTATCGGCGGACACGCAGGTAGAAACTACCGACTGACTAGAGCTACCTGAGACCCCCAGGGATACGAGCCACATTAATGCATTCGTCGTCAACGCCGTAAACAATGAGCTTCTCGTCACCGCTCAGGTTCACGTGTTAGACAAGGATCAACGACCGATTAGCTGTCCAACCTTGATTGATACAGGTGCAATCACAAACTTTATGACAGAAGACCTCGTGAAAAGGCTCGATATCCCGCGGAGAAAATGCCACTTTCTGGGGTGGGGGCTCTCAACACGTTATCCACGGTCGCGAAATATACTGTCGCAGCCACCATTTGGTCCAAGATCAGTGATTACCAACGGACAATAACCTTTTTAACGATACCAAAGATCGCGTCACTGATTCCTGATCAACCGATCGACCGATCGACGATAAAGATTCCGAAGAATCTAAAATTGGCAGATCCGGAATTTCATTGTCCGGCACCGATTGATCTGTTACTCGGCTTCGGAGCTGCATTGTCACTCTTGAGCGTCGGACAAGTCAATCTCTCCAGTCCCGATGGACCCGACTTGTATTTGCAGAAGACGAGATTCGGATGGGTGATCGGGGGGAGCGCACCAACTGCCTCCCAGCTTCGCAACACCTCGTGCCACGCGACCAGCGCGCTCCAGTTCGATCTCACACGATTTTGAGAGATTGAAGAAGGTCCACAAGCCCAGCTTCTCTCAAGCTCAGACAAGCTATGCGAGATGCATTTTGAGCAACATACCAAACGTAATGCTGAGGGCCGATACATCGTGGCATTCCCCTTTAACGGTAAGCAAACGCAGCTTGGAGAATCGAAGGTAAGGGGGCAACGGCGACTGGAATCATTGGAAAGGAAGCTGCAACGTGATACGGCACTAAAAAAGGAGTATCACACGGTCATGAAGGAGTATCTCGACCTTGGACACATGGTCAAAATCCCAAAGGATCAAGAGGAACCCAGCGGATACTATTTACCTCATCATGGAGTGACAAAGATCACAAGCGAAACAACGAAGCTCCGAGTAGTATTCGACGGTTCCGCGGAAACGAGCACTGTGATATCATTGAACGATTCTCTCTACACAGGACCGAAACTGCAAGAGGACTTGCTGTACATTCTGCTGCGGTTCCGTATTCATCAATACGTAATCACCAGCGACATCGAGAAGATGTACAGGCAATTTCTCGTCCGCAAGGAAGACCGAAAATACCAACGCATTCTTTGGCGCGACGATGCAGGTCAAATTCAAACGTACGAATTGCAAACGGTCACGTTTGGACTCTCTGCCGCACCGTATTTGGCAATTCGCTGCCTCAACCAGCTAGAGCAGGATGAAGGTCATCGCTTCCCTCACGCTGTTAAGGTATTACTTCGGGACTTCTATGTAGACGATGCATTAACTGGAGCCTCAACCATCGAGGAAGCGTTAACGTTACGCAGAGATTTAACACAGTTGTTAAATATAGCGGGGCTGAACATGCGGCAATGGGCAGCCAACGATAAGGCATTACTCCAAGGATTGCCAGAGCAATCTATTAACAAAAGGCTCCATCTCGGGGAATCGTCGACGTTGAAGACATTCGGAATCGTTTGGAACTCTTCTGCCGACACCATCTCGTACGAGGTTAATGCGTTGCCCGCCTCCTCGCGGGTTACCAAGCGATTCATTACTTCGAAGATCGCCAAGATTTATGACCCACTAGGGCTCCCTGGGCCGGTCATCATCGTGGCGAAGATGCTCTCGCAAAAGATCTGGACCATCAAGATCGATCGGGATGAATCGTTGCCCATGGACATCCATACCGAGTGGAGCCAATATTATAAACAACTTCCGTTGCTTAACAACATCATCTTTCAAAGGAAAACTGTCATCAGGTTACCGGCGAGAATTGAAATGCATGGCTTCTGTGATGCGAGCGAAAGAGCCTACGGAGCTTGTCTTTATATCCGCACGATCGACGAGTGCGGTCGTATACAGGTACAGCTTCTCGCAGCAAAATCGAAGGTGGCACCATTAAAAACGCAGTCGATACCAAGACTGGAGTTGTGTGGGGCCCTGCTCTTGACTTCGCTAATAGCTACAGCGAAGACAGCATGGAACATCCCAACTCATCGTACCATCCTCTGGACGGATTCCACAATAGTGCTGCACTGGCTGCAAGTCTCTCCACACACACTCAAAACATTCGTCGCCAACAGGGTGTCTGAGATACAATCAAGAACCGACATTGAAGATTGGCGACATGTCCTGACGTCAGACAACCCTGAAGATCTGATCTCGCGTGGTCAACATCCGGTGGAATTTCTTCAGCCTTCCCTCTGGCAATATGGACCAACATGGCTGAGCAAGGAAGAAGCTCTATGGCCAAAGAAACAATTATCGTTCTGTCACGACATTCCAGAACAAAGGACTGCGAATTGTCTGGTTGCATCCATATTGGATTTCAGCATCCTGGAAAACTATTCCTCGTGGGAAAGAATGCAATGAATCGTTGTACGTTGTCTTCGATGGAAGAAGAGCAACAAGGAAAAGGGAAACCTCACGGCACGAAAACTTGGGAGAGCCCACGATGCACTCATCAAGCTTCTTCAACAGGTGCATTTCTCGAAAGAATTACGCTGCCTGGTCAACAACCAAACGGACATTGGAGGGAAACTTCAACACTTGTCCCCATTTATTGACAAGGATGGCATCTTAAGACTGGGAGGCCGACTAAAACATTCGCTGATCCCATTTTCACAGCGACACCCGATAATTCTACCAAAGGCACGTGCCACTTCCTTAATCATCGAAGCCGAACATCGCATTCATTTACATGCAGGCGTTCAAAATACGCTATATGCTGTTAGGCGCCGTTATTGGCCCATTGATGGGCGAAGCCAGGTATGGAAGGCATTGAGGACCTGCGTACGTTGTCTCCGAGGTCAACCACCTCGCATCAATCGACCTTAGCAGGGCCTTTGATTGCGTTTCGCATGAGGCCGTCTTCTTCATACTTCGATTTAGAGGTGCACCATCTAACCTCGTTTAATGCCTCAAGAACTTCTACGTGAAGAGCAGTCTAGTCCTCAGAACACCCGAATGGACCTCGCGTCCAATCCATCCCTCGTGTGGAGTCAGGCAGGGTGACCCTTTGTCGCCCTTCCTTTTTAATCTTGTCATTGACACCTTTTTAAGGTCTCTCCCGGACCATTACGGGGTTCGAGCGGATGGATTACACTTAAATGCTCTGGCTTACGCGGATGCCTCTTGTTGATGGCCACCACGGCGGAGGGTCTACAGGACCTTTTAAATATGGCGACGTCGTTCTTCGCGGAATATGGTCTGGACATCAACACTCAGAAAAGCTATGTTATAGCTCTTCGTGTGGATGGTAACGCGAAAAAGATCGCAGTGTATGGTAAGGTAAACATATTATGTAAGAGCTCTAAATTAAGGGCTCTTCGCCGTACTGACATCTTTACGTACCTTGGGGTTTCTTTCTCGCCCGAGGGTCGTCTGTTCGTGAAACCATATGACCCTCTCAAGGTCATCCTCGATAGGTTGGCTGCGGCCCCACTCAAACTGCAGCAGAGGATGTGGGCATTAAGGTGCGTAGTTTTACCTAAGTTTTATCATCAGCTGATACTCGGCTATACCACAATTGGTTGCCTTAACAAAATCGATCGTATGGTGAGATCTTTTGTGAGACGCTGGCTCCATCTGCACCATGACGTCCCTAACGCGTACCTCCACGCGGCTGTTTCGGATGGGGGTCTTGGGGTGGCCTCTATGCGTTGGGTAGTGCCTTCATTGAGACTGAAACGTCTGCTCTCCTTGTCTGGAGGTAATTGGGGCCCTGATCTAACACCTGGTTCCTTCTGGTACTATGAGACGCTTTTGTGCCGCCGTAGATTAAAAGCGAGCAATTCTACGCCGCTTGAGACGGCGGGGGACGTCAGAAGATTCTGGGCTAAGAGTCTATATGCATCTGTGGACGACTCTGACCTCTTCTTCATCTGTCCCGACACAGCACCGTTGGGTCTCTTCTGGTAACCGCTTCCTCTCTGGCAGGGATTTTGTGAACGCATGTAGGTTGCGTATTAATGCCCTCCCATCTAAATCAAGAACATCTAGAGGTCGCGGCTATGACCGCAGGTGTCGTGCTGGTTGCGCTAGAGTGGAAACAACAAATCATATCCTGCAAGCGTGCCACAGAACACATTCGGACAGAATTCGGAGGCACGATGCTATTGTTGCCTATCTGTCCCGTAATTTGTCACCAGCAGGGTACAATGTGTCTGTGGAGCCGCGATATGAGACCCCGGAGGGTGTCAGAAAACCTGACATTGTTGCCTCCCTTGGGGTTACCACGCTACTTGTGGATGCGCAAGTAACCAGCGACACAATATCTCTAACGGCGGCTCACAATAGACCGTTGGTGGCTAGTTGGCTATTATGCCAACAATCTTAGTTTACTGACCCAAGTTAGAGCCACCACAGGCTCACAGTCGGTTCAGGTGTTAGCCGCCACTTTATCTTGGCGAGGAGTTTGGTGTCCTGAATCGGCCAAGAAGTTATTGTAACTTGGAGTCGTCAGAAGGGGCGACCTTTCTATACTGTTATCAAGAGTGCTCATTGGTGGTCTGTCGGCTTTTTGGAAATTTAACCGCACGACGATGGCGATTAGGAGCCGCACACATATTCCACGTACGGGAATAGGATAACGTTTGCGGACCTTGGACGACGTGTTATCTCGCCTCTATGTGTCGCATAGAGAAGTAATCTTATTTTGTTTTTCTTCTTCTTACTTTTGATTTTTAGTTTCCTTTCTTTTTGCTGTACTCAAAGTAGCTGAGTACTCTCATTTTCTCTCATTCCTTTCCTTTTTTATTCCTTCTTTTATTGTATTTTAACCCGACCTTTTCGCGTGAGTGCTGTCTGCTCTCTCAGGCATAATGTGTGCATGGCGACATTATATGACACATTTTGTCATCATGCACTTAGAAGGTGGCGATCGCTTGAGGTGTCGGACCAGCTTGGCCTGGCACTAATATCCGGGATCAGCCCGCCTTGAAGGGGACGCGGTCGCTTGAGGTGTCGGCCTAGGCTAGTATCCGAGACCAGCGTCCAGGTCATAGTTAGCAAGCAGCCACCTCTTACAGGTTCCCGCTAGGAGTACCCCTTTCGAGGGAGAAACCAAGAGCCGCCCCTGCGTCTCTCGGTCCTGCTGGGTTGCCTGCCCGCTCGACTTAAATTATATCAGCCCAAAAATAAAAGAACAAGCCTCGGATGACATGATTGCTTCCCTGAAAACCGGTGAGCCCTCAGGCGCTACCGGACCGACCTGCACTGGCTTGGCCGAATCTGGCACAGAGGAAACCTTTATGTGTAGATATCTGAACTGCGGAAAGTCCTTCAAAACCTCCAGAGGAAGAGGAGTGCACGAACAGCGAACCCACAAAAGCTGGCACGATGAAAGGCAAATCGATTCTATCGACCAAAAGAAGGCGCCTTGGAGCGCTGAAGAACTGGCCCTCCTGGCACGGGAGGAAGCCCAGTTACTCCTGAAGGGCACTAAATTTTTAAACCAGGAACTGATGCCACAATTCCCGAACCGTACTCTTGAGTCCATAAAAGGCCAAAGGAGATACCAAAAGCACAAGGACAAAGTGCAAGAAGTCCTTCGGGACCTAGAAAATGAGTGCAGGCATACAGATCATGTTGCTCCAAGTGGGATCCTGCAGCCAACCCGACGGAGCAACGCATTGGTATCTCTGACCTGTGAACTTTTTGCTGGTCTTCCGTTGAGCACCACGGAATTCCACGCAGAACACCTGGATCGAATTTGTAACGGCATATCGACATAGCCATCAGACAAAATCTCCGAAGAACTCGAGATTTATCTGTTGAAAACGTTCCCCACACCACCAAGGGGCGAGAAACGAGCCTCGAGACATTTTCCAGAAAGGAGCCAAACTAGACGTCAAGCCCGCCGGGCCGACTATGCTAGAACGCAGCGGGCATGGAAACGCAACCCCTGCGACTGCCTGAGGAAAATCCTAAAAGGCAAAGAAATGGCCAACCAACCGGCCAAAGATAACATGGTCTAATTCTAGAAAAATGTTATGACCGGCGGGGTTAACAGGTCCCCCAGTTGCGAAGCCAAGCGACCTGTGATCGACGACCTATGGTCACCTGTACTCCCAGGCGAAATCAAGAAAGCGTTCCCGGAGCTGACAACCGCACCGGGCCCGGATGGCTTGACAACCCGCCAATTGAATGCAGTTCCACTGAGCATACTGGCAAGAATATTCAACTTATTTTTAATATGCGGAAAACTGCCTGAGCACCTCCTTAGAGCCAGAACTACACTAATACCGAAGAAGGATGGTGCTCCAAACCCTGAGGACTACAGGCCCATTACGGTCCAATCGATCATAGCTAGGACCCTCCATAAAATATTGGCAAGGCGCCAAATACATAAGATCGCTTTAGACCAGAGACAGAAGGCTTTTCTGCCCAAAGATGGCTGTGCCGAAAACATATTTGATCTGGACATGATTCTGAGGTATCACCGACAGAACTTTAAGCCCATGTTCATGGCATCCATCGATATTGCGAAAGCATTTGCCTCCGTCTCTCATAAGACCATCGAAGACACTCTTCGCATCATGGGTCTCCCGGACCCGATGACTGCGTATATCATGGACACCTACGTAAGAGGCACGACCACCTTAATGTGCGACAAATGGGAAT